GGCTCTGAAAGCAGGTAACGTGGCTGCCTTCTCCAATAATTGCCAAGACTCTGCAAGGAACTAATTCAGCAGCAACATTTTGTTCATTCTACACACATAGGATGGCACTTGGGACTGGAATGCCAGTTAACACATTATTAGGTAATCATAAACTGAAAACACCGTACGAAATACCTGCTAAGATTGTCTTAGTTTGATGACGGCCCTCATTCACAAAATCATTCTATTATCGACCGAGTTATTCTCTATATCTTTATATAAAATAAAATAAGAAGATAGAGATACTCATCCATCGATGATCATCTTCCTCTCACTTCCACCGCAGACAAAATTTTAGCCCATGAACAATGACAATCCTCTTATTGAGTTTCGCGTTGTTTTTTGTGTTCAGTAAATCAATTACCTCAATATGGTGGGCGCTCAATCCCAAAGCAGGATGCTGACATCCACATAGTCACCATGCGTTGCCTAGCCAGCGGTTGGTGACTACATGGCAGCGGACCAGACCACCCATGCATGGGCTTCAATGTTCTCAAATATGTCATGCAAAGCCTGAGAGACTAACATCCTTTCAATATACAGTCACGTGTTGTGAAGCAATAAGAATTTAAAGAATTTTTTTTTAATTTCCCTATGTTTGCATGCACACCTAATTGCATGATTAAATCATATTAATCCTATTTGAACGAATGAAATTTTAGGGTGTTACACACACATTCGATAAATGACATGATAACACAAACTAAAATTATATTTGAGCACTATGACTTGGGTACAACATGATATATACTACTTTTTCTTAGCTTTACTGAAGAGTGAGGAGTGAGAATGAAAAAGAGTACACACAGTCTTGGAGGGGAAAAAAGTACATATAGAACCATATGCTTGACATGATACATGTATACTCCTTTTTGCTTAGCTTTACTGAGGAGTGAGGATATAGTCTTCGAGAAAGAAAAAACAAGAAAAAAGTACATATAGAACGTTGTGCTTGACATGATAGCTAAATTCGACTACTATATTGTAACTATATATATATATGGTGCACAGCATGTAGTATTATATTTAGACAGAGGTTATCTCAGTAAACATTGAGGAAGCCTATGTTCTTGAGTGCATCGGCAGCATTTGGTGTTTGCACAGTTTCGAGCCCCTGAGTATGTTGTTGTGGCGGCCAGGCGCCATCTCTGTCCCACAGCCACAAGCAATACGAGATTTGCCCCCAACGCAAGATTAGGTTGACTAGGTGGTCCTTGAGAAACGTTTCGGTCCCCAAGTCTTCGGTGAAAACCTTCGATATCGGCTGGAGGCGTAGCGCTTCAGTGATCATAATCATAAATGTGACAACAACGTTCTTAGTGTCGTTGACAGGTGTTGTGGACGGGTTATATTCTGACAATATTCTGAGCACTCTTATGGCCGCAGCCGCGCCCAGAGGGATACTAATAAAGTTTTTAAACCCACCACATCTACTAGGTCTTCGTAATCCCTAGGAAATGGAAGTGCTATACCGTACCGTTAGTGAAATGGCTGTCGGGAAGTAGTTCCAGTGATTTGCCCTGTTCATGAACCCCGTCAGGAACTAATTTGATCTGGTTTCTTCTAATATCTCAGTTGATCAGTGTCTACACCCAAAGGATCACGGAACTGAAGCTCTCACTGGTCACTATACAGCAGTGTTATATATCCACAGCCAGACTGCAATATATATACACACACAAAGTCCTCGCTTGGTCTACCATCAAAGTAAGTAGGAGTGCCTTGCTTCTTGCATGCCTGTGGCACTTCTTTTGCATGAGGTTTCCTGAAACCACACATGAAGCTCAGCATGAACCAGGATGGAACACATGACAGTGACACACTCGACGTACACAACAGGCGGAGCAAGGCTTCATCATAATCATTTTATTAGCATCAATGTAGCAGCACTACATAACAGAAAATGCCATTGCCGGTTCAAAGATGGCAGATGATGTGTTCTTCTTCTGCTCCGCGAGGAATTTCCGGCCTTTTCGTGTTGGTTTCATGCACCTCATTGCGTTTCATGCACCAGCCAATTCACTTGAAGGTTTAGCCTCTGTACCAGTGCCCCCCGGCGATTCCTCCACCCACACATTGCAATTGGATCCCACCCTCTAACAGCCATATATCAGACAATGGGTCCCACCCCCTATCCATGAAGGAATGAAAAAGAAAATGTTTTGAGAAGAGCGTAAGAGCAGGATACTACACTACTGCCTGTACGTGTCTCTTTTGGGTCAGCATGACAGTGACTTGAGAGAAGGGCAAAGGCATTATTCATCTGATCCATGAGACACTGAACAATGATCCGATGGGAGGTGTGAGGGTGCCTGCCTGCCCCAGCAAGCATCAGCAGCAGCATGGATGGGGCAACCTCACATGGATTGTGTTGTGCGCGATCGATCGATCCATCCATCCATCTCTATCTCGCCCTCTTCCACACATCCTAGTATCCTACAATGCAAACCCCACACAGCAGCAGCAATTATACTCCTGCCCATCTTACACTTTCCACTATGTTTTCCCCAACCTTGCTGAACTCCCAAACAAAGCACATGTGACTATGTGAGGCTTTTGCCGGGAGAAGGAAGCTAACCCTTTATTTCCAAACACTACAACCTCACAATGCTAGCTTTTGGAGTAGAATTTTGCGTGCTACAGTACCGAATCCGATCTTTTTGCGCAGAAAACACTAGGAAAAGCTCCATGGAATGGTGACCCCAACATGGCATGGCAGGCGGCAGCTCAAGATGAAACTACAAGGAATAGGATGGCATATGAAAGCATAGTGTGTTTGGTAGTTGTCGGTGTTTCGAGTAAATACTAACGAGTAAATTTGTAATATTGCGCGTCTGACTCGGATGGTGTGCTAAGAGGACACAAGGATTATACTGGTTCGGGTCGAATATTCCTGCTTCCAGTTTCGGGCTGCTCGTGTTACCAGCACTGAGTTTGTAGTAGGGGGTTACAAACTGGCGAGAGAGGGACAGGTCCCAAGTCTCTGGTGGAAAGAACGAATGGATACCGAGAGCTTGGTCGCTGCTCAGCTATGTGCTTGAGGTTTGACGCTAGTGCTCTTGATCTGATACGGTGCGGTGAACCAATGTTCCTTAGTGGGATGCCATGCTTTCTCTTTTATAGGCCAAGGGAAAGCAGGGGTTACAGTGGAAGGGGAAGAGGGAAAAAAGAAAGAGAAATAAGGCTCTCGGGGGTGTCGTCCTCCTCTTTGCGTGGGTCCCGCTGACCCTATAGATCGTGGTGGCAGCGGCGTCGCACCAGGGTCCTGTTGGCCGCTGCAGCATACGTGCGGGTGTCGTGCGCCGTTCTTGTCTTCAATCCCATCCGAGCGGACGGAATGGTCAAAGGGTCCCCTGACAGAGGCCATACGGGGGGGGCTAGCGGTACAGTGTCAGTCAACTGACGCCAGTCGACTGGCGTTGGACGGTGGTTAGGCAGGGAGTTGGTAGCACAGTGTTGGCCTGTTGACGCGGTGGGCGACGTGAGTCTCACAGCATGGCTTGATGCGACCGCCAGTCGCATCAGGATGCGCCCGAGACATGCTCCCAGGCGTGCGCCTCCACGCCGTAGTGGTTGAAACGGTTCGGGTCCCACCCTGGGGCCACTACTTTTGTTCGGTTGCAAATCCGACCCCCAGGGAATGGGCGAGGCGTTCCCTGGGGGCCGGGCGAGACGGAATCCTACCCTCGGGGGTCGGACGATGCGGAGCCCTCCCTGTGGGACCGGACGATTCAGAGCCCGCGCCCTGGGGTCAGAGGAGTTGGAGCCCTCGCCTTAGGGTCGGACGAGACGGAAACCTCATCCTCGAAGTCGGAGCCCACACCTTGGGGTCGGACGAGGCGGAAACCTCGTCCTCGGAGTCGGACGAGGCGTGGCCCGGCCCCTGGGGTCGGACGAGGCAGAAACCTCGTCCTCAGAGTCGGACAAGGCGTGGCCCGGCCCCTGTGGGTCGGACAAGGCCGCAGTTGCGTCTTTAATCATCGGATGAGGCGATGTGATGCTCATTAACCCTTTGGCTCGAATACCCGGGTATAGATATCCTAGTATTTGTCTGTCACAAAACAGGCCATGATCCTCGTTCTCGTTGTGGCCATGGAGCGGCACGTGCCGGATCGTGAAGCTGAAAGTTCCCATGGCACGATGCAGTGCATGCAAGGTGTGCCTGGGGTAGCGTTGGCACGTGACAGGGATGAACCAAAAGGGTTTTTACGACTCCTCCATGCATGTTACCCAGTACCCAATGCTTAGATTGCTTGGCATGTCAGGATGGAATCCTCCGGTGGTGGTGGCTCCAAAAGCAGAGCAGGGAGCTAGCGTGCCCTGCCTTTGGGTTGGGCAATACTTGGTCCCAAGGTTACCCAAAAGTTCAGTACGTTTCTTTTCCCCGGAAATTCCCTCTGCCCTTCCGTACTACGGCGAAATGCTTCATCGTCAGGGATTTATTACAAAAGCGGTTTATGGATGGTGGTGGAGACCGGCCTCTGTGCAAAATTCAGCCCATGCCCTGGCCCCAGATCAAGAATTCAAGATGTTCCTTTCTCTCGCCACAGGAGAGTAAAGTACCAAATACTCCAGTAGTTGGGCTCTATCCACTACTATGACAGATACATTTGTAGAGCGGAGGCCCAATGAGCAGAGGAACGGCCCAGTAAGTTGTATGATGGGGGAGAAGAGAGAGAGCAGAGCACAGCCAAACTGCCCAACCAAGCAATGAGCCAACCAATCCCAGCAGAACATGAACATATTTAACCGACAGGGTACCCACCGTAGCAACAACCAAGAAGCCCAAAGAGGTTCAGGCACCGTAGCCGAGACATCTCACAGATTACAATGTATATGATCAGCAGCCATAGGACGTCTGTCAGGGCAATCTTCTCAGGTTACCAGGTTTGTCTCAGAGGTTATCAGGATAAGAACCACTGACATGACAGCGCCGCCGAGTCACCGACAGACTTGCTCATTCATTCCTTGACACCCTTGTTGATGAGGGACTTGTGGATGTGGGGGATGACGCCGCCACCGGCGATGGTGCCCTTGATCAGGGTGTCCAGCTCCTCATCCCCGCGGATCGCCAGCTGCAGGTGCCGGGGGCTGATGCGCTTCATCTTGAGGTCCTTGCTCGCGTTCCCAGCCAGCTCCAGGACCTCTGCTGTCAGGTACTCCAGGATGGCTGCCGCGTACACGGCCGCTGTTGCTCCCACCCGCCCATTGGCCTGTGACCTTTCTTTCAGCTGGCGGTGGATGCGTCCGACAGGGAACTGAAATTTACACATGATCAATCAGCTTATAATGAAGTTATAACTTATGTAGTCAGTCATCTACTGTTTGATGGTCTTCTGAAACAAAAGCAAAAGATAATTCAAGAAGACATGCAGTGTAAGCTCAGCAATAAAAACATACTACATGCCCGATGCCCTGACCAGACTATACTCTCCGCACAAAGTAAATACAGGGGATTGCAGAAACTTTTGTGGATGTGGCAAATAAACACCTAACAATACATGAGACAATACTATCAACCACACAATAGATTGAGGACACAAGCCAAAGTCGGTCTAAACGGGTGCTAGTGCTACTGCTACATAAGGGCAGTCTGTAAAGACAATAGTCAATAGTGTCTTCCTTTTTTTTCAATGTAGTGACTTCTGAAATGCACAGCTCTACTATTCATATCTGCAACTAGGAACCATTGTTCCTTCAGAACTTCAGTGGGCCCGAGGGTCCAAGACCCTGATGCCTAGAGGCCTCAGTGGAACAATCACATTATGACAGACATTGGCGACACCTGATCTGGTTTTGATCAGTGCAAAGATTTTAGGACTAAATAATATATGATTTCCACTATGTGGGGAGGCCACGTCTGAAAAGCTCAGGGTGCAAAAGGATATGGAAATCATGTCATGGTCAGTTTGGCCTTGGAATAGTTCTAGCAAACAGGGCACACACAACACCAGTTGTGGCTGTATGACATTACTTGGACAAGAAAAACAAATCCTAGTTTTCCCAATCCAAAGGAACAATAAATATATCATATACTGCAACAGATAAAGCTCTGGAGCTTGGATTTTCTGACAAACTTAACTAATTAAAAAAACACCATAGCGATAGAAGAGCTAAAAACAAAATAAGCTTATACCAGTGTACAGTTCACTTATGAAATGGTATCCAACTCTGGATCAAATTAAGACATAGACGTATAATTGAAACCAAGTTAGCACTTGTCCATATTCTGTAGCATATAATTTGATTCAAAATTAAATAAGCATTAACTGTCAGGACAGAACACTATGGCTGAGAACTAACTTCTTGTCCCTAGGGGGCACGACCAAGCAAGGTTAGCAATGCAGACAACTTGAAAGACCCATGTAAACCACCCAGACCAAACAGCTCATGCACCAAATTCATTTTTTGGATGTTCTCAAGAAAAGATGAACACAAATTTATAAAAATTCCACTACTTTCATAGCTGCATATCTACTTCAAATATTGGTTGCGTTTTATCTGGGTAATGCCCAGTCCTCAGGTACAGCTTGTCAGTTGGCACTAGAATACACATGAGCAAAACATGAAAAGTTGAAGTCCAACGTATGTACTCTGTTCCTCAACAGGTGTAAGGTAATCCAGACACAGAATTGATGTTTATGTTCAGTTTCAACTCTAGATGGTCCCAATTCATGCACCGCCAAATATGGTATCATTCAGCACTTGGGAGTTAAGCCCCTGAGTCACAGACTCAAAGAAACAAACATTGCACAACATCCCCTACATATAGACCCCAGAAGAAAAGAACCAGCAAAGGCAATTAGATGACCGATCAATAAAAACTGTACCATCCACCTCATTGGCGACCCTGGAATGTAGTATTACACCCGCACATGCCATGCTATGTCGATGACAATGCCCAGAGCCCCAGAATACATGTTCAAACAAGAAAACCAGCAAATAAACAATCTTAATTTTTTCTGCTGCCTACTGGTGTTCCAGGCCAACGCCCGTGATCAAACAAGCAAACCGGCAAATCCATGATCAAACAATCAAACTAGCCAATAAGCATCGCACGTGAAAGCTCTACATCAAGAGTTCCAGGCCGACGCCCGACTACGCAGACTAAAATAAGAAATTCCCCAACCAAAAAGTCAAATATTTCGCGCTAATAGTAACAAGAGGCCAAGAACAACGTTTTCCACTCCAAGCGGACATGGCAGGCCACCGCAAAAACAATCCACACCCCGTATGCCAAGAACGCACAGAAAGCAGCGTCAAGCCCAAGAACGAGCCCTCATCGCCCCGTATGCCAAGAAAGCACAGAAAGCAGCAGGCGTCAGCGTCACGCCCAAGAACGAGCCCTCATCGCGCAAGGGACGAAGCAGAGCAACGAGCGGAACAAGAACAAGCGAGCGGAGAAAGGGGGAGACCTGGAGGCCGGCGCGCGCGGAGCGGGTGATCGGCGCCTTCTTATCCTTGTCCATGCCGGCCGCTATCTTCGCGGCGATGAGCCCCTTCCCTCCCTTCCCGGCCATGCTCTTCCTCCTCCGCCTCGCTCCCGCGAAACGCACCTGGAAAACGAAGCGAAAACCCCCCAATGATTTCAGGAAAACCACCAAAGAAAACGACCGGAATTTTGCGAGAAACCGTGGGGAAGAACAAAGACGAGCGGATTCCGGTTGGAATTGGGCTAGGGGCTTACGGTTTGGAGAATGTGGCCGCGGATTCGAGCGAGACGAGCAAGCGATTGCATGGGCGGTTCTTGCCGGCGTTGGGGTTTTCGTCTCCCGGGCAAGGGTTTATACGAGGAGAGAAGCGTGGGGCTTCGGGTCTGTGGATTTGCGGTGTGGGGCCTTTACTGGGCTATAAATAGCAGGCCCAATTCATCCCGCCCACCTATTAACTGGGCTAAATGAAAAGGCTCGCCGGGTGATCACGTCTGGCGGCCTGGCCTGTCAATAGCTTATAAACTGGATCCAAGAGTTGCTAAAAAAAAACCTGGATCCAAGAAAATCTGCCAAACAATTTTCTACTGATAAGTTGCCTATACCATGCTGTCACCTGGTGATTCTCTGAAGCATGATTTCAAGACTGCTTTGGGGTATTTCACAAAATATAACCAAGTGGAAATGCTGAACCTCAATTTATTCATTGCTATTTTTGTGAAATAAAGTGACACCAGTTTACAGAAGGTATTTTGTCAGAATTTTTTGCATTTAGTTCAAAGTTTGAACTAAATCTCATAACTGCCAACAAACTATCCATCATCCAAATCATCCTCTTGTGGAGTCAAAAGTGAATCAAGAAATGGTGTATAGGTGGTGACTACAAATCATGGAAACTGAAACCATTGTGTATACTGGTATATCACTGCCCAGGTCTCGGGCGACTGGCCGGCGCAGCCAAAGTTCACTCCTTGCCATCTGCGGCGCGGAGGGAGCCGAGCTGAACCGGGGCCTGTGTCTGCACGACCTTGGATGATCCGTAGACTGACAGATCCATGCCCTCCGCCTTCTCCTTCTCAAGCTGCTCCTTGATCCAGAAGTAAGTGATCCTCAGCCCGTCCTGCAGGCCAAATTGGGTTCAGTGCAATGAATGATCAGATTATGTAGGTGCGAATTCAGGGATCTGAAGCGATGGTATGTGTGAAATTTGGTAGAGTACCTTCAGCCTCATAGTCGGAGCCCAGCCAAGCTTCTCCTTAATGAGTGTGTTGTCTGAGTTGCGCCCACGCACACCCTCCGGCCCGGGAATGTGGTGGATGGGCAGCTGCTTGTTCTCAAAGCTCAGGACTATTTCAGCCATCTCGTTCATGCTGACCATTTCGTCACTTCCAATGTTTACAGGCTCACGGAAATCAGACTTTGTTAACCTGATGCAGTTGACAAAAATAACAGCTTAGTTCACCATAAAAGGATTTCCCTTGGAACTTTCTGCATCACTATAGTTATTTCCTTATTCCGAAAGACTTTTTTCAATTTCATTTGAACCAAAACGAGAATTACTCAGAGCCTTTTTGTAGAACAAGTGCGAAGTAATGTCAAGGGAACAAGATTTACTTGCTTGTTACTATAAAATAAGGAGATACTCTTTAATGAATAATATTTACTAGCTTACTGTTACATGTTGTGCTGTTTTTCAACTCCGGTCTCTGATGTACAAGCAGAGACAAAGGTGATGACAGCAACATATTTTATGAGCTTCGGAAGGTCCTTGCCACAGATGTATATGGCTTCAAGAATAGTTATTCAAAGCTCAAAAGTAGAAGGCCACATTCATATTTTTTAAGTTATAATATATGTTGTGCTGTTTTTCAACTTCGATCTCTGATATTCAAGCAAAGACAAAGGTGATGACAGCACAGACTTTCTGAGCTTTGGAAGATCCTTGCTGCAGATGTATATGGCTTCAAGGATACTGATTCAGAGCTCAGAAGCAAAGAAAGATAAATTCACACCTTTTTTTTTTGTTTTCTACCCAATGTTATGTTGTTTTTCAACTCCGATATCTGATGTTCAAGCAAAGACAAGGTGATGACAACACGGTTTTCTACCAAATGTTGTGTTGTTTTTTAACTCCGATCTCTGATGTTCAAGCAGAGACAAAGGTGATGACAGACTTTGTGAGCTTTGGAAGATCCTTGCCGCAGATGTCAAAGCTTCAAGGATACTTATTCAAAGCTCAGAAATGGAAGGCAAATTTCATAGTTTTTTTCCTTTCTCCAATGCTTCGTTACTATTAGTTGAGAAAACATTTAGCAAAATAGTACCTTTTAGCAGATTGCACTGTTAGGTTGCAGTTTAAGGTTGAACTTATGCAAATATAGCCATAGCATCCAAGCTAAATAGTGACATAAACAACAGAAATTACAGGACATTTTGCCTGTTTCAGAAGGAGCATGTCTGTTTTAGAAGTGAAGAACTACCCTGTCATTGCATCTTGTAGAATTTGCAGTAAGTATGAATTTCTAAAGAGCCAAAAGCAAATTAGTAGTGCCCTTATCGATCTGTAGGGACTACATTAATGTTTCAAGAAAGGCCTTACACAAAAAAACTAAGGCCCATATAAAATGTGTTTACCAAAGCATATCTTTTTGTCCAACCACACCCCTAGAAAACTGCATGTCAGAGACAACTAAACCTTTCTCTTGGGACATAGTAGCAAGACTAGGTTGATGTTAATTAGTATGAGCTTAACCTAAGATATCTGAAAGAAAAGGAAAGTATTATAATGTAGCAGCCAAAGGTGAGATGAAATTTTGCTTACCTAAGGACACCTTCAACACATTCATCAATAAATGTGAAGGATCTGGTTTGCAGGCCATCGCCCCACATCTCAAAGCGCCCAGTGGAGGTTAAAGCCTTCCTGCAGAAAGCAGCAGGCGCCTTCTCCCTTCCACCTATATTGCCAAATAATAAACATAGGGCAACATCATTTAGAAAATTGAGAGCACCAACAAAAACTGGCAAAATATTACTAGTTACCAGATAGCAACTTACCTTTCCATGTTCCAAAGGGACCATATATGTTGTGAAAGCGACCGACCCGGCACTCAATGCCAAAATCCTTTGTATAGTGCTTGCACAGTTCCTCAGTAGCAAGTTTTTCCAAGCCATAGGCATCTTGAGGCTAAAAATTAGGCATCACTTCAGTTAAAACCATTTTGCCTTCACAAGTCGCAGCTCAAGTAAGAGGCAATTAACACAAGCATAAAGAAATGTGAAAGTTTAGAAACCTCAGCAGGCCAAGCATCTGACTCCTTTAAGCTAACTACAGTTTCCAACTGCTTAAATTCAGGGTAGATGCAGGCACTTGATGCATAAAAGAACCTGCCATGGAAACAGACAGAAATTTCAAACTTTGTTTCAAGGGATGAGCACTAAATTAACCTCAGTTGCATTTGACAGCAATGCTCTCATAAAGTAGTTTGTTTTGGGCCCTTCAAACAAATGCAAACATTTCCTAAGTTTTTTGTTTTCCGAATTTAACGTTTAATTTTGTAACTGCACCATTTAAAGGTTAAAAGTGCACACAAATTCAATATCATATTTGGAAGTTTCTCAATACTTTATACACATTAAGAAAGTATATGAGAGGACCATTATCTAGGCAAAAGAAATGGACAAGGTCAGTACCTTCACGTCACAGACGAGAGACAGGCAAAGATATACTTGTCCGGCGTCACCAACTCAACAAGTGGACAAGCCCGCCAATGCATATTTCACAATGAGCTATTTATGTCTACACATGAATATGCTATGTGCAGCATGGGAACAGGGTAATAAATCTTATGATACTTTCCCAGGTTGTCGCTTAGCGCCATCAATCAAATGAGCCTAAGAGACCAATGAATACCCTTTGTGGACCAATCCAAAGTTTCAAACCCAAAAAAGAATATACTAAGTGGTGCCGGTGCACGTGCAAACATATCAACGGCTTTCCATAATATAGTAATTAATGCGGACTGTTTAATAATTCTTCACAGTAGAAAACCAGCAAAATTTTCATGGACAAAAGTATTATCTTTGCAGTTTGTTTGCATTTCAAGATTTCCTCATTGGACAATTTTATCATTGGAGACAATAAGATTAGCTCATCAGGGGTAAAAGCATGATAAACAAAGAGCCACCTTCAGGCGAGAAATTACCTCTTGACACCGTTAATTCTAGCAGCCTCAAGCATGTTAAAGCTGATCATGGTGTTGTTGTACATGATCACAGAGTGGTTGGACTGGATGAAGCCCATCCCACCCATATCAGCCGCGAGGTTGAACACATGGTCAACCCCCGTGGTGACCTTGAGGCAGTTGTCCATCACCCTCAGGTCCACGAGGTGGAACTCGTGGCAGAACATGTCCTCGGACATGTGCTCATTCTTCTTCCAGTCAGAGGCGATGATGTAATGGCCCTCACTCTTGAGGCGGCGCGCGATGTGGGAGGCAATGAACCCGCCAGCACCAGTGATGGAGATCCTCAGCTTCTCAAACGGCCAGTACGGCTCCTTCTCCAGCTCCGCGTATGTGTACTCCTTGTTGAGTGCCATTGTCACCACGATCTTCTATTTCTATAGCTCAAGTTTTAGGATGAAAATATTCAAACAAAGTCAACACGATCTTCTATTTCTACAGCTCATCGACAATGAGAATGAACCCCCAATATTTCCAGGAAAACAAACTTGAATGTTTAGGAATACTGGGCAAAAGCTTTCGCTCCTCTGTTTTCGATAAATCAAAACAAAGCATCACGAACATCCACAGCAGCCATGCAGCTCTCGGCGATTCTCAATTAGCATAGTTGACTATATTCACAGGATTAACCAACACTAAGTGGTGCCCCTGTGAATGAGTAGTGTTGCATCTGCACGAGTTCACACTTCACAGGAAGTAAAACACCACCAAATAGGTATTGCGCAATGGACAGGAATAAAGATTCGGATCTGATTGGTTTCGGCGAAGGAATCAAATCCTACAGCAATGGGATCAATTCAACCAGGCGACCCACCCAAAACAAGAAGAGGGCGCGACGCCGGCTACCAGGAGACGAAAAATTCGACCCGCGGCGCCGGTGAGGGTGCCTCCGAGGAAACAAATGCGCAGGCACGAGCGCGCGACCCTAAACCATGCCGCGACCCTAGAACTGGTGTTCCAGACCCCGAGCGCCGGCGGAAAAAATTTCACCAAAGTATGAAAAGGGGCAGACTCTATACCTGGCAATGGCAAACGGTTGCGCGGCGGACCGGCAGCTCGAGTGAGACCGGAGGGAGGACCGGAGGAGTCTGGTTCCTGAATCTTGACAGGGGGAAAACGGCTCGCCGGATCTCCTCCCACCTCCGGCAGCTCTTAAATAGGAGTAGCAGCGATGGCGAGACGGCCTCGTCTTGTCTCTTGTGGAGGTGGAGATGGAGAGCTTGACTCCGAGGAGAGCCTAGTGTATCTCTTTCTTGCACATTGGACCCTGAATTTTTTGGTTTTCCTGTGCATACGCCTGAGTATGACTTGGAAAAGTCCTTGCGTGCTTCTATATTTCAAATTGAAAATTTTCAACTTGTAGGTTTATTTAATTCGAGTGAACACGTTGGGATGTGTAGCAAAAATGAAGTAATCTGTCGAACTCCATCGAAGCAAGATGAAACAAGGTACAGAAGAGAAAATTCACAAAAACAAAAAGGCATGGAAGAGAATGCATATCTAGATGTAGAAAATGCATTTATTTTTGGATGGGAAGTATTTTTATATCAGTTTTGAAACTGAATTGTTCTACATTATGGTACTTATAAAGCAGCACGGGCTAAGTTTGTGGTCAATAAACTCTCAAATCATCATAGCACGATCGGTGTTTTGCAAAGCATAAAGACTAGGATTTTTTCTCCTATAGAATAATAAAAAACGAAGGAGACTGGGGCCCCGCTTGTCTGGAAAAAAGAAGTCAAAACACTGTAGCGGCTGGTTGTGTGAGAGAGAAATACTGTAGCGGCTAGTTGATGAATAGTGCCGCTGTGAGGAGGAACCAGCCAGCTGGTCTGGAAACCAGACCAGCGAACGGCACCTGGGTGTCACCATGAAGTTCTGTATAAAGTAGCTAAACACGACCAGAATGAATTCTAAGGACATGCGAAATGTCCGGTTCATGCCTAATATTGACGGGGCAACAAGTTTTTATGTACTAGTTATTTGCTTAGTACCATGTCACACTTTCTTAGCACTTGGTGCCACGTGGTATATATATATATATTTTTTTTTTGCCGGATTTATGCGGCAAGACACTTTGTCCAAGGTTAATTGTGGTAATGTGTTGCTAACAATTAAAGTAAAATTTGAATTTGTCAGAGAAACGAGGTCAATCAAATAATCCTACATTAGTTAGGTGATTAGGTCCCAGACTAGACATTTGCGTATGCACCGAGAGTATGTGGTTTTAATTTGCTCATGTACCGTCGCTAAGTCTACAATTGCGTGTGCCATTTAATTTTCAGCCGGCTGGCCGGAAATTTCAGATCGCTAGTTTGGTTTGGGGAGGCCATTGCCGCGGTCAAGAAGGTATCGCGAATCAGCGTGTACCGTAGTCCTCTACAACGTGCAAGAACTTTGTTCTCGTACCAACCTTGCCACATGAATGATTGTACATTTGCACGACGATGTACGTACACACGTAGTTTTAGTCTGCTGTTTTTTTTAAATGTTATACAACACACATGTGTTTTAGCAAAAAACAAACTATCTCTCTCCCTCTCCCGTCCTCTCCCTCTCGGTCTCTCACGAGACGCAGCCACGCCTCCCGCGACGCCACCGCTCCCGCCACCGTCGCCCCCGCCGGCGCACCGGCGGCCCCCCTCCCCCTCCGTCCCCTGCGCGGGTGAGTCCTTGCGGTCTCTTCTCATCCCCTCCCTCCGTGCTCATCTCTCTCCCCCTCCGTCTCCCGATGCGGCGGCGTAGCGGGCAGGCCCCACGGTAGCCGCTGTTCGACGCTGCCACGCGCTGCTGCGGCCGAGAGCCCGGTGGTGGGCGCACCTGCGGTGCAGCAACCCCTATCCCTTCCTCCCGCCGCGCACGCGTCGCCGGCCATGGAAGTGGCGGTGGCGGCGCCTCCCCGCGCCCGCGCCGGCCATGGCAGTGGCGGCGGCGGTGGATCTGTGATTTGTCCTTCCATAGAAAAAAAATTGTGATCTGTGATCTGTGGAGACTGGAGGTAGAAGAAGGGTGGAGGCTATTGGATCTTAATCCTATGGTGCAAAAAATTCATGTGTTGAAACTGCATAAAATGCATGGTTGTGTAGTAGACGGACCATTTTTTTTCTGTTCCATATTCATCGTGCAGATCCGATCCGGCCGGCCTGGCGTCGTCACTGCTAGCTGCTATTTCATTTTTTTTTTCCTTCTCAAAAGGTGCTTTTCTCCATAGATGTATCAGTTGTTTTGAGACCTGTTTGAAACAGGTACGTAGTAGAATCATCCTCTCTAGTAAAATTCTTAATTTTCCTCAAAAAAGAAGAGATACCTAATAAAGATGACTTTGAGTAAAACTACTAGTTGGATCTTTACATTGAATATTTTGCATGTCAGTGATCTATCTTTTTTTTCTCTCTGTAACTAGGCCACTTCTGAACGAGAAAGTACTACACTTGAGTTAGGCATGCTAGCTGACCCGGACCCACGTGCCTTGTACTGAAACAGGTAAACGACGTACACTGTGTTTGTTTGTACACTTCTTTACTTAGGCCTTGTTCAGTTTGCAACTTTTTTCAACCCGATGAATAGTACCATTTTCGTCTTATTTGGCAAATATTGTCCAATCATGGACCAACTAGGCTCAAAAGATTCATCTCGTGATTTCCAACTAAACTGTGTAATTAGTTATTTTTTTTACCTACATTTAATACTCCATGCAAGCAGTTAAAAATTGATGTGATAGAGAGAGAGTGAAAAAACTTGGAATTTGAATGGTATCTAAACAAGACCTTAATGGAAAAGGCATAACAACCAAACATGGTAGTAAAACTGAAGAAACGAAACGAGGGGGGAAGAATCGTTCTGTTTGTTTGGGCTTGTTTATTTATAAGCCGTATTTTTTAGTCAATGAATAGTATTTTTTTCTCGCATTAAATTAGCCAGCAGTACTTTCAGCCATACCTTATCAGCCAAACAAGTCCAAACGAACAGGACAATTCATGGTGGAGAAATCAATGCGCGCAATGCGGCGTGAATCATTGGCAGACTCATCTTGGAGCGAACTCCAGTTGACCTTGCCCCTGGGCCATGCAAGTTGACCTTGCCCCTGGGCCATGCAAAAAGACCACTAAATGACTATTGGGAAGAGTGGACTCCATGGAATTGAATTCGATGTACCGATATGATCGAAGCAGTCATCACCTAGGTTTACTAAAATTACTGATAAATTGATGCAGCTGTGCTTGACCGTACCTTGACCTAGATAACTAAGCTAGGGGGGTCACTGCTTTGCTTAAACTTAAACTTAACTAGTGTATGTGCACGCCACCGGTTTAGCCCGCCACCATACCAGCTTCACATATGTTCGCTGCCTTGTTTAGACCCTTGGTTCAAGTAGACGTGCCTCATGGCCTTCCATATCTCAAGAGTTAAAGCATAATCCCTCCATCCCATAATAAACACTAGTAATAAGTTTTCTAAGATTTAATGTTTGCCCCAGAAAATTAACATTAATTCTACATATAAACATGGAACATTGTCTCCCAATATGCATGGAAGCTAATCATGAGTGCATGCAAACACAAACTGCCAAATTCAAGAGATGTCCTTTGGAAGAGGAAAGGAGATGAAGAGATGTCCTTTGTCAGTGTCCTCAATCTGTGTAAAAATTTCTAGAAACTTATTTATTATGAGATGGAGGGAGTAGGCGTTTAGATCATACTATATTATACACCCGTTCTAAAATCTAGGACATGCTTGTTTAGTTCACTACCACACTTTACTATGAATTTTGTAGCGAACTATTTGTTTTACTTCCACAATTTGGCATGTCATTAATTAATGTTCTAATCTCTACCTCACCTGCCATATCTATCTATATGAATCCTTGCCAAACTTTACCCTAAGCTGCGGGGAGAAAATTATTATTCACCACGGCTTAGGCAAAATCTGCCAAGAAGTGTGACAGCGTGTAAGTATTTGTTTCGCGCTAATTTTTTTCTTCTAAAGAAATCAAGTTTACAGAGAAATATATTAATGTGTATAAGATATATTATGTGGCTGATTTATTGAAACTAATCCGATGTCCCGTAGGGTCAGTGTAATTTTCTTTAACCTTAACTAGTTTTAGTTAGAATAAGAAAATTTTGACTTAGGACTAATTAAAACAAAACACACTATATTTCAGAATAGAGGAAGTATATTTGAATAGCTAGAGCGGTTAAATGAGGAGAAATTTGTGTAAGGTTAAGCGTGGGAGTTAGCAAGTTGGGGGTAGTGTTTAGATATATTTTTGCCATCTCGATCGAAGAACTCGTCATGCTCGTATATCGTATATGTTCGTCACAAAAAAAAAAAGGAAAAACAAAAACAGCACATA